GCTGGATGACCTTGGCCAAGCCGTAGTTCTGTCAGAGCTGTTCTTGAAAAAAGAGCAGTTTCTGTCAGAGCTCTCTCAGCCCCACCTACCTCACAGGGTGTCTGTTGTGGGGAGGGGAAGGGAAAGGAGTTTGTAAGCCACTCTGAGACTCCCTTGGGTAGTGAAGGGCAGGGTATAAATCCAATCTCCTCCTCCTCCTCCTCTTCTATGCACCCTCCAATCGCAACCCCACCCAGTGGTTTTTATTTATTTATTACTAATTTAGAACACTGATTAGCCAACTTCCCAGTTTAGAGAACTCAAGGTGGCTTGTATGTATGCCGTAGAGTCACAGGGGCTTAGGGCGAACCCAGCAAGGCGAGTGAGAAGCAGGGGGTGGTTTGCCATTGCCTCCCTCTGCAGAGTCTTCCTTGGTGGTCTCCCATCCAAGTACCCACCTTGCTTCGCTTCTGAGATCCGCCTATACCAATGCCTCCCTTCCCTCCCCAAGGCAGCTTACAATATAAACAAAACCCCACAATCATAAGAACTGGAATTTTATGGCTGGAGGCTTTTCTGCCGGCTTGCTTGGCATCTTGGGGGACTATATTAGTTCCTTTAAAAAAAAAAAAACCCAAAACCCAAAATGATATTTAAAACCAATCTTTATAAAGTGTAATGGCTATCTTTCCTTCCTGATTTTGGGGCACAGGCTCCACCTGTGCGGTCATGCTGCTGCTGCTGTATTCCAGCAACAGGTTTTATTATAGGAGGCAGCCACAGTATAATTCCCTCTTCCTTGTGTTGGATGGATGTGAGGCGTTCAGTCGTTGCTTGGGGGGGGGAGTCTAAATCAGCAACTGCCTTTATGTCAAAGTGCCTGGCAGTGCAATCTTCTGCAGAGTTACTCTAGTGTAAGGGCATTGAAACCAATGGGCTTAGAAGTAAGGCTGCCCATTTCGATATGTGCTGCTCTTGGGAATTTGATGTGTTTACAGGTCATGGGAGAAAGCCCTGTGAGATCTTGAGTGTTGCACACACTTGTGCCAAGTGTTTGTAAACATCTGCAGAAGTCTCTTATTTAATGGTGCCAGATGTGCTGGAGGAGGAATTATTTATCCATTAAATATCTGGAGGCTCATGGTTGAATCTGGGATCTGGACCCCCCCCCCCATGTCTTGTCTACTTTTCTGATTTGCTAGCATCTGTTTGCCCCTTGGTAGCTCTCTGTCACACGAGTTTAGGGATGACTAACAAGAAGCTGCTCCCATGGTCCTCACCTGCAGTGGAAGGTTGCCATTGCAAATTTTTACAAGAACCAAAAAGATGGTGGTGTGTGTGTGTGTGTTTCCTCCTGTGTGAATTTGGTAGCTGTCCTAGATTTTGTCCCAGCACTTCCTGGTAATCTTGGCACTATAGGGAAGGAGCTGGCTAGCAGGAGCCAACTTTTTCTTTTTTAAAAAAAAACTGGTCCTGCTTTTGTTTCTTTAACAGAAGTTAAATAGAAGTTTAAACAGAAGTCAAATAAAGCCTTTTCTTTGCATGGAGGTAAGTGGTGTGAAAAGCTTCACTTGCTAAATTTCTCTGTATCAGGCTGTTGTTGAAGGAGATGTCTGAAGGGTCCAGTTTGACATTGATGGGAGATGAGGGTGCCTTTTTCATAGACCACTGAACCACCAGGCTTGAACAATATTCAAAGACTTGCACTAACTTGTAACCTCATGAGCCAAATACAGACCATGTTGAGCCCCATTAGGAGCTCAGTAAACATCCTAGTTTTGTTTACTGCCTGGAGGTCCAAAAACTGGGGTGTCATGGGTTGTTAAACACCTGCCAGCCCACAGTAAAAGACTAATGGGATAAGCCACATGATGGATACCACTATCTTAAGGTCACCACTTTGAATGTTAATCCTGGGTTTGGGATAACAAACCAGAGCTTAGGACAGAGGGTTGTTGCCATAGGCTTCAACCCCAATGACTGAACAGTTGAGCTGCCCCACACAGCCTGTGACCCATCAAGCCAAAGGCCGGGCATCTCTGGCCTTCCAGATGCTTTACAATCCCTGCCATTCTGGGCAGGCAACCAAAACAGGAAGCTTGTTGAGCCATTATATGGGGCTGGTGGGATTTGGTCAACTGGGTGAGTCACAAATTGCACAGGATCACATTTGAATGGGTAAAAGTGGTACCAGAGCTGTGCGCTTTAGCCAGATTTATTTATTTATATAAACCATTTGTTCGCTGCCTTTCTACCTTGGGGAACTCAGGGTGGCTTACAGCATAAATAAAACAAACACATAAAAGGCCATAATTTAAAATCTCCAATTAGGACTGTCAGTAAATAAAAACTAAATGACTCACATACAGTCCTAAGTAAAACTTGTCTTCAGGTGCCTCCTGATGAGCGGGAGAGAGAGAGAGAGAGAGAGAGAGAGAGAGAGAGAGAGAGAGAGAG